CAATTCCAGAAATGACTGTATTACACGAATTACCGAACTGGCATGAGCAGGGCGGAACGAGGACGAGAGACGCTGGAATTCGCGTTGACTGCCAGAGACGACCGAGTCCGGTTGGGTCAAGCGATGTTAACGAAGTGAAATGGACTGGACCGGCGAGATAGCCGATTTCGTCGGCAATAAGCGCGATGAGGAACGCAGGGACGCAAATGGCGGATAAAGCATCGGCTAATTTCGCGGAGTTCTCGGTGTGAGTCGCGGTCATCAGGGAAAGAATATTAATCGCATGTCGACCTTGACGGCTCCGAAGGGTAAAGAAAGGTGAAAAATATGATCGAGTCGGAATCTCCCTTTCACGCCACAGAACGACCGTTCACAACGGAGCAGAGACTCACTTCGCCGCGACCGCGTTCGGTCGACGCGACGAGAGCGAACACCAGGAACCGGGCCGCGTCCATCGTCCTCGGGCACTGGTGATGGGACCTGAGGGCCTGGGAGTGCGCGATGGGTTCTGAGGGCCTGGGAGTGCGCGATGGGTCCCGAGGGCCTGGGAGTGAGTGATTTCTTTCGGGTGTTTCGGGTCCAGTGCTTTAATTGATTCCTCGATCGAGCGAGGGGAAAGTTCCGTGGAAGACGGAGGGCCACTCGTGCGTGAGCGAATTCTCCACTATTCGGGGGATTCCGACCGGAATGCTTTCGTAATAAATGATTGCATCTTTCGTGAGGAATTATGCATTGTACTCGTTACTCGGGGACTTGGATTTAAAAATAGAAATAAAACTCTTTTCTTCCCAAAAAAATTTTCTTTTCCTCCGATTAATGGTAGCAATGCCTCCGAGTTCCCTTAGGGTGGTGGAGAGATTGAAGACCCATGATGAAAGGACAGGGTCGTTCCCGAAGATTTTTGATCAAGAAGACTTCGAAGAGAAAGCGAACGTAGTTGGGATTGCTTATCACTACTCTCTGTGGGGAGAAAAAGAGATTTAAAAAATAATAATAATCGAAGGGCTTTAATATCAGGCAACAGAGCACGGTTTTTCTATAATAATAATAATAAATAATAAATGGAATAAAGTTATTTAAAAATTTTAAGAAAAAGAAAAAAATGTCATGCTAATATTAAAAAAGATAATAGAGTACTCCTGACCAGAATGAGAGTAACAGACGCGAAGTCGACCCAGCCTCATCCCACGTCGGTTTCCTCAGTCGGTGATCCCGCTCTCATTCGAGTGCAGCCATAGGTTACTAAGGCCCGTTTTCCGCTACCTTCGGATTACCCGGGTAACCGATAACGATCCAAGACCGCATATGCAGTACTCGTATTCGAACGAGTACTGTCTTTACCGGGGTGATATCGGTTTCGCTCACAGCCACCGGATGGCCTGTAAGCAAACGGCGAAACCTGAATCTTCATCAGGCAGCATTGCTTTTCCCAGTTTCTGTTGCGATCGCGAGAGCCTCGTCGAGTCCCGATGCGAGATGCGGTCTTCCCTTGGTTTTAGCGGGTGACGCTGCCGTTTTGGGTTCGGAATGTGTGTATTGAGGGGGGATTTTACTGCTGTGTCCAAAACCAATTTAAAAAAATTATGAATGTATTGTATGGAATGTATGTCATATAACAATATATTATGTTTGCGTAGTCGCGGGTTCTTTAGGTGATGCGTGAAATAAAAATGTCAATAACAGTTGCTGATGTGAAAAATGCATGAATTAATAAAACTCTCAAATCCGGACATGGAATTTGATGATTCTTGCTCGGCGATGTATCTGTGAGGGTTTGTGTCTCGATCTCGCTGACGTTTCGTTGCCGCCTTTTCTTCCCGCAATTTGGACTCGTGTAACAGATGTTGGCAAGGAGAGACGGAGATCCTTCTGGAGGCTGTCATCATCTCTGTCGCTCGTCTTACCCGGGTTAACTCACTGAGATGGAGAAGATACATTCTCTGTCTCGGTAAGATGGAGGAGATGCTTTCTCTATCTCGGTGGGTTAGCTCCGAACTGCAGTCGCCTGGTCACCCGGGTAATGTGTGGGTTACCGTCGTGAGTTTGCCAGGGATAAGTTGGGCCTATTTAACCCGTGTCTGACCGATTTTACGTTACCAGAGTGTCAGGTTACACGCGGGTAAGAGGGTTACCCGGGTAATACGAGGGTGGTGTAAAAGGGGCAAAAGTCACCGTATCAGCGGCGCCGCTCGAGGGAAAGACACTGTTAGATCACCGCGGAAATTATCCTTTCCCGTTAGATATCGTCCGATTACGCAATGTGGGTCTGTTACTCGTGTGTGTCTCTATTACTCGTGTGTGTCTCTGTTACTCGTGTGTGTCTCTATTACTCGTGTGTAACTCTATGGGCTTCTCGAGGGGATTGACATCCAGAGCCAATGACAACGAGCATACTCGTATCTGTTTCCCCGCGAACAGGAGGCGATTATGGGCTTGCTCTACTTATCACTCCTGAGAGACGAAATATGAGACCTTGGGCCACTTGACACAGCCTCGTACAGAAATGATATGCGTATGTTCGAAAAAAAAAAAACTCCCAGCGACGACGCACAATGAGAGTATGGCTGCACGGTCTTATGAGCTCGAAAAAGCGTTCGGTTCGCGCACGTCGAAACGGATGAACGCGCAGGGTCAACTGAACCTGGACGGATCAAAATCCATTGACTTATAGAGTGGGGCAAAAGTCTTGTCTCATAGGAATCTCTTTCACTAACATTTGATTCGGTGGAAGATTCCCATGAGACAGGAATTTTGCACCACCCTGTATATTTGCATAGTCAGGTGTCGCTGCCTGTGTTCCTCTGCCTCCTTTTGCAAGTGATGCCGATTGCAATTCCCCCCCCCCCCCCCTCGAAAAACTGTCCCATCCAGTGTGTCCTTATGCAGTGGTCGAGCCAAAGCCCGAAAAGGAGTTGAAGGAGACGTTCATGGAGGATAAGACGCCGTGGCTAGTGTCTGAGCGGTTGAGATAATCCCCCCCTTCTAGAAATCCCAGCGGCGCCCTTCTCATCGGCAGCGATCAAGGGAAAGTGCCTGCCTGATTCGTCGTGGCGAACAAACTGAACTCGAATAGTCGTTCTATGGATCGGTCGAGACAGGGTTCGATGCCTTCCCATGTCATTTTGTGCCTTTTGAAGTAACCTATGATCCTAGCGCTTCACTTCTGAAGTGTTTCACGATGAAGCATCACGTCGCGGGTGACCTGGAGACATGCGTTTTCTTCTTGTATGTGTTCGCTTGTGGTGTTGCCCCATTTTCTGGTGAAATCTCGTTAGGCATTCCCATAGACTCCTCTCTCGATCATCGTGCCAATTGTTAGAGTCCTGCAGATTACGTCGACAGCTGCCAGGCTTAAGGTGAACGAACCACCGTTTGGTATGGCAAAGCAATAATGTATGTTGAGCACTGTTGAGCACTCAGCTTTCACAGATGTTCTTAGCGCCACTGATGACGATGCTGGTGAAATGCCGCTTCATCTCGCTGTTCAGGCTCCTAGTCTTGTTCCGGCTGTGTCTTTTCCTCGGGATTTCCCTTCCAAGGAAAAAGCAGTTACCTGCGTTTCCTAGCTTTCTTTCCCTTCCCCCCCCCCCCCAACTGGTTTTTGACGATTCATGGGGGCGTGTCTGCAGGGCACGAATGGAACTTCTTGTTTCCACTAGGATGAACTCCTAGGGATTTTAAACGCTTTTGGTCTTCCTTCTCCGGTCCACTTTCATCGAGGTGAAGGATTTCAAGAAGTCGCGAAGAATCGACCCTTATTTTCGCTGGGACAACCAGGTGGACCATGTCTGTCGCCTCTTGAAATATGCTGCAGCATCTATTTACCGTCTCTCTTCTATTCTCTCTCAGGAAGATTTAAAAAAAATGTACTACGCTCTAGCCTTTCCTCACTTGAGCTATGGAGTTCTTGCCTGGGGTCATTGCTGTGAGCGACATGTCTGTCGTATCCTGTCGTTCCAGAAACGCATCGTCAGAACCATCCTCCACAAGTCAATCCGTACCACATGTCGCCCTCTCTTCCCTAAACTCAAATTCCTTACCTTCCCCAGCTTGGTTCTCTTTCACACCAATGTCTATTTCCATGTCTCTAAAAACGAAGCCATCTCAAATGCAGGCGTTCATTCCTAGGACACCCGAAGTAAAAATGACTACCACCGTTCAATTTATTCATCCGCCCTGGCAAGTAAACTAATCTTCTCTTGGGGGCCGCATTACTTCAATTCTATCCCCAGGTCAACTCGGCAACTCAATCATACAGCCTTCCGAAGGCAGTTGAAGGAACTCCTTCTCTCATACCCGCTCTACTCATTCTCAGAATTCTTTGATATTACCTGGTAAACTCCCCTCCTACCCCACATCAGGATTACTTACCCACCGTCCTCTTACTCGAGTTTCCTCTTATGAAAAAGTGCAGTCACACCTCCCTCCCCCTCCTCTTTTTTATTTATATTAATTAATTAATTTATTATTTTTATTTCAACTCTCCTCATTTTGTCATTCTCTTATACCTCACCCCTTTTGATTTTATACTTATGTTCATGTGTTCAGTTTCAGTGTGTCCAATTCAGTTCTCTATGTTCTGAGTGTTCTGTCCAGTTCTGTGTGTCCTGTCCAGTTTTGTTTACTTTCTTACTTATTTATTTTAATTTATCTATTTCTGTTTATTCATTTATCTATTTTTCTCTTCACCTTCTGCCTCTTTATGAGAGTATGTATATTTTTAGCTTTCAGATATGACGAACTCAACGGACCAATTGGTCTTGCAAGAGTGATGGAATAAGTATTATTATTATTATTTGCTCGGGCTCTTGACTGGTTGATTTTTAAAGACAGGTACCTCAGAAACAGTATGGATTTCATGAAAATTGTCCTCAGATGCTTGAAGTCAGAAAGAAAATAAAAGAGTACACATCATAAGTCACGAATAAGAAACCATAAAGATCTGTGATAAACTGATCCAGGGAACTGATGACAATCCCACTGCCACGCCCACTGTGCATTATGGCGGCGTACAGTGATGCTTAATTTCATGTGTTCACGGCGCCAGCTCATCGTATAGGCCTCTTGACCTAGAACATCAAGTTCAAGGCTTAGTTGTTCCAGATCCAAGTAGTTTCATTCGTGAAGTCATCCTTTGATGCTTCTGCGTGGCCAACCCTAACTTGAGCCTACCCTACTTTGTTGGTAGGTTACGACGAAAACAGATGCAATTTTTGAAGCCAGCACCGCCATGGACGCTATTGATAAAGTTCGCATCCTCGTAGTTGGCGACTCGGGTCAGTTTTCATCCCTCAAGGCGTAAGCCCAGGCCTACATCTAAGTTTGATAATATCGCATGTCAACATTAACATTTAGCCAATATGAACGCGGATTGACGTGCTCTGTTAAGCCTCCATAAATGGCAGTATTGATTTTATGTCTATCATTTAAGTAGGCCCCATCTGACTTTAGCTTAAGTCATGCGAAGTACTGCAAACTAAACATGTTTGTATTATGAGGGACATGATACATTGTCCATTGGGTAGGCTACCTTGGGATGAAGATTTTGAGCATGTCTATTCCTTTTGAAGATCATATCTACCCTAACTTTGCTATGTTCCCACTACTTTCCAGTGACAACTAAACTCTGAAATTCATAGTTGTGAATGCTAAGTGTCACCATCCCTTGGGATGAGGCAAGTAGTGTGTGGGCGAGGCCGCCAAATGGGATTGCGTGTTCTCTGTGTACATTAGAGGGCGCTATTATATATGGACTGACTCCAATTAAATAAGTACCAGTGAGATTCGGAAGGAATAGGCTGTTTAGCAACAACAACAATGGATATATTGAATGCATACAACTCACTTGTACAGTCTACAGGCACCAGGCAGGAGGGAAGTTGATAAGTCAAGGTCGACGGGAATAATTTACAGGTCCCTATACAATCCAGACATACAATACACACCACTATACAATGTCACATGATCACATCCACCCTGTGTCTTGTCCATGATCTAGTCTCGCCTCCACCCCCTTGTCCCGGTCCGGGGAGGTCTCTTGGAGGTGGGAGGTGTCCAGTAGGGGGTGGCTCCTCCTCCACTCTTTGGTGAGGTCTGCCGCTAAGCCCACAATTGAGTAAAAAGCAAGATTCAACAGAAACATAATGTAGAGACCATGAAGGATGAAATAGGAGAGTAGAGATTGAAGTGAATGTAGATGTTCCTAGCAAAGAGGCCTACTGACACCATAGTAAGTTAGGCTCAATATTTCCCTACCTTAAATCGAAGAGTATGGTAGAACCACATTAGAGTATAGGAATCCTGCTTTCATCTCCCTGGGTTCATCTCAATGGCAAAAAACTCAGGGGAAGTCCTGATTCCTGGTTTATAACAATCATGATCCAACTACTGATTGAGAACATTTTAGGCTGGGTATATTTCCCATTTGCATACTTTGCCTCCTGGCAAAATCCTGTTTATGCTACTGATGATGCAAAATTTTCCGTAAAATGTAAGCCCATAACTCTTAAAGAGATAGGTTCCTTGATTAGCAATGTGAAGATATTCCATTATTAATTCCTGTTAGATGACTGCTCTCTTTCTGAAAATGTGTTTCTAATGGCATTCAGAAATAGGTTAGATGGTAGGTCAATCTTGAACTGCAGCTGTAGATATAGTAAAATCAATGTTAACCCTAGTGCTCTTGTGGAATATTATCATTTGAGCTTCTTTAAATGTATGAGTTGACATCATTTTTAGGTGTGGGAAAGTCATCCCTGGTACATCTAATCTGCCACAATGAGGCTGCAGTCAATCCTGGTTGGACCATTGGATGCTCTCTTGAAGTAAAACTTCATGAATACAAGGAAGGAACACCTGACCAAAAGACCTTTTTCCTTGAACTATGGGATATTGGAGGTAGCAGCAGTCACAAGAACACCAGGGCAATGTTCTATCACAATGCAAATGGTATGTAGCAATTGCTTCTCTGTTGCAGGTAGTTCTACCATAAATAGGTCAAGCTGTAAAATTTTGTGCTGTTTCTAGGTGGCCTCCCTCTGTGGGAAACTGAGGTTCAGTATTTTATCTTTAATCTTGGAGTTAAACATTTTTTTTTAGCTGAAAATTTTGAGCAAAATCTATGCAAGGAACTGGAAAATAAGAAAATTATTCTTTAAAAGATTTGCCAAAACCTAGCCTTAGGGTTTAAAACAAATGGGACTGTAACTGGGAATCTCCCAATTGATCATATGGTCTTGATTATTTTGCTTTGGATCTCCATGGTTATTCTGTTGGTGACATTTAGGTCTGTGAATGCCCTCTGTTATTTTTTAATTGTATTATTCCTACGTATATGAGTCATCATACGTATAGAAGTAAGTGCAAACTACTCTTCATGTTCTTCACTTATGAAATCATATAGGGTTGATCCTGGTGCACGACCTGACAAATCGGAAGTCCCATGGGAACTTGAAACAATGGTTGAATGAAATCCTCGACCAGGACAAGGAAATGGGAATGGGAAGAGGACCTTCTAGGGTAAGGGACACCCTTGATCCTGAGAACCTCCTCGGATCAGTGAAGGTGAGAGGAATTGACAAGCTTAGGGCCGCATCACTTCAACGGAACTGTGAATTATTGCCACTCCCATGTATGAGCTCATTGAGGTGTTTATTCAGTTTTTGGCCTTCACTGGTGATAATGATGACGAAGAACATGTCCCTGCCTTAGTGAATTGCTTGTTGCCAGGATCAAAGGATGAGGAGGAGAGCTATTCTTCTCACCCAGAATAAGTTTATTTCAAACATTATGTGATAATGCAAATAAGTATTAATAGATCATTAAGGTCAATGTAGTTCCATTCCCAAAAGTTCATGGACTCAATGGGTGTCTGTGTGGTGAAGTTTGGATAAGATATAGCTCTAGAATTAGTTTGGGGAAAGCAAGAGTTTCATTTAAACCTTTAAATTGCATTAATTGAATCTCAATTACTAGATTTCCACAGGCATGCTCCATGTCAATGAAGTATCTGAAGGGTTCTGATTCTGTGGCTCTGGGAAGAGGCTAGTATGTATAAGATTGCATAATAAGCTATTCAGCTTGGAAAGGGTTGTAAAAATTAATATATTTTAATATTCATCCTGCAAAATAATTTGTATTTTTTATTATAAATATTTTGCTGCCAAATTGTTGGGAGTCTATTGTTATTGTTATTCTGACATGTAATTTTTTTTTGGAGTGATCTAGAGGAGACCTTCAATCATGTCAAAAGGGCAATGACTTGGAAATGAGGTCTCTCTTGGATCAAGTGCTGTGTTGAGATGTTTGAGGTTTCTAGGTGAAGTGCTTAGATCAGAACTGGTTCAAAAAATTTTTCCTTTGAGATTATTTCATTCATCAGTGATTTGAAAATGAAAGCTAGTTTGAGTCCCTGCATTGTTGTCAGCCAAAAAAAAAAAAAAATGAGTATGATCAGTAGTGTGGTCTCTTTTGCACTGTATGTATGATATGCATCGAGTCCAAAGTCCACTTGACTTTCAGCATAGATTCCCATCCATATTCAGTTTCTAGTTACTTCTAAATGATCACTCATTGCCTTATGTAATCAATATGATTATAAAGAGATGCATTATCCAAGTTTGGTGAAAATTGCACTTGAAGAGGCAGAAATATATGGATTCAATGCAAGAGGCATTTATTTTCTCGACCCTGTATATACTGCAAGGATTTACCACATCAGCCCTTGTCTCAGTGTGCTCTGGTATATGCAGTCCATAGCTACTGAATGCTTTCATGGATGCAAATCAATGGAGATTCAAATAGACATTTAATGAGCTTTCATGAGATCATTATGGGATTCATCTCGAAAGTTTGATATGGGTACAGTTGATGTCAGGTGAGAAATCACAATGAGTTTGAGATTCTTAACTCTTCAAAGGTCACTTAGAACTCTGCATGAACAGGGAAAGGAAAGTACAGGGTGTTCATACTTTAATGCAACATAGGAAATATTTTGCCACCTCTATGTGGAGTTTGGCTAATGATATAAGGGCCACTGGGTTGCATACCTGCAAGGAAATGCACCAGCATTTGTTTTCATCCTTACAGATATGCAACCCCGTGAGCTATAAGGCACTCGCTGAACTCCATAAACAGGTGACAAAGTTTTCCCCATGTTGCATTCAATTATAAACACCCTGTATTTCTGAACTGGTGATTCAGTGGGTGACTCAAAAAAGAAAAATTATGCCGATTGTCAGTATTAGTATTTGACATCCATTGTAGGATTTCCATGTAATATTTGGGATCATGATATTAACTGTTGAATAGAATAAGACAATAAAAAAACGAAAGTTGTGTGACTAGCTTTGTGTTCCTATTTTTGCAGCCTTTCATCAGCTGATTTCACCCTTTCTCCATACACAAACTTCATGATGTTGGTATAATTGTTGATAACTTATATTGATCTTTGTCACCATGCACTGGAGTCAGGCAGGAGAGATTTTTCATAAGAAACAGTATAGTAGCATTTTTCAAGCCTCATCTATATTATGAATTAATCTGAATTTCTGAATGCCTTCCAACTGCCTTTTTTTTGTGGCAATTATCAGTGTATTTATCGTATCATTGCAGATGCCTATACTTGTGATTGGCACAAAACAGGATCTGGCTGGAGAGAAAAGAGTGCAGCGTTCATTTGTTGCTGAAGATCTTGGTGTTGATGACATTTCCCTTGTGAGTTTTCTTGTTGCATTAAGGAGCATTGGGTGATGCATTATATATCCTATATTCTTGAAAGTACTAATCTAGGGATTCATTCTTAGAGACTGGCCAATCTGACAACAATCTGAATGGTTTTTGTGATATCTGTTGGTCACATATTTTTTTTTTTTCTAGTTGAGATCTAAGTCTCACATTTGGTTTAATATAAGCTGCAGTAAGCTATTCATCTATGGAGGCCATGAGGCACATGAAAATTGCCATTGGATCCTCCTATAAATAGTGAGGCATTGATTGTGAATGGAATTTAGACTTCTCTGAGCTGGAACAAGGGCCTATGGAAGCAAGGTATTATGGTATGTAATATAGCTGCCCGTGCAAGGAACTCCGACACAAGCTCAAGGCACAAAATAGCCTTAATTTCAGACCAGTTGGACCTTGTATCCTAGAATAGGATTAGTCCAAGAGTATAATCTCCAGAGACTCAGTTCAGGTTCACTTGACTCTGTGTAGTCTTTTGCTGTTGAGGTGTGATTCTTGTGAAGTCTCAAAGCAATCAGGAATTTCACACAGGCTGAAGTTTTCAAAATGTCATTAAGTATGACAGGACTTGAAGTGCCTGCAAGATGGTGAGATTATGCTCCCTTCTCATAGCTTCGTCTTCACAAACCCTTTATGCTTTATGTCAACTGAGGGCTTCTGATCTTCATTTGGTCTTACCTTCCCAATTGACTCCCAGTCAGTACAAAATCTGTACAGATCAATACAGCAGTTCAAATTTGGATTTTCGAAGGCCTTATAAAGCTGCCATGAACTTTTCATTAATGACATGATGGAATGAAAATGAAAAATAAATTTAATGTACCAGGATATCCAATCCCTAATAAAACTTGCTATGTTGTTACATGTTGCAGAACTGCCATAACCCTCGTTCTTTGGCACCTGGATCAGGATTGGCAGTGAAACTGACCCGCTTCTTTGACCGCATCATAGAGAGTCGATATTATCGAGACATGAATCCCAACCCTGCACTTCTGGAGAAGAGGAGACTCTTACCTATGAATGTGATGAATGCCAAGAGCTTGCATGGGGACTAATGGAATGGGGATATCTCTCATCTGAGGCATCTCTCACGAAGGATCCCAGAATAACCTGTTCACCTCCTCAGGATCAGACTCAACATTTTGAGTGATTCCAGGCTATCCTTCCCATTTTCTGTTTCACTCATGTCTTGGTGGTGCTTGTCTTTCATGGACCCATGAAATTATTTTAGGAAGGGCATTGTTGTCATGCTTATACATTTTCCATCAATGCAGATGTGATATTGAAATCAGTATATGAAAGTACCATTGCATTCAACATGTTCTGCATTCAGTTTAATTCCATTGGCATGTCTCTAGGAGAAAATAATTATTTATTAAATATAACAAATGCTTGATACTGCTTCTGAGTCTTTGTATATTGATACACCTTCATATTTTGCATGGATCTATTCATTTAAGCTCTTTATGCTATGCTGAGCCTATCTCCATGTTGTAGGGCTTTATAGAAAGCCTATTTCTTTCCCAAGCACCCATCAACAGTTTTATTATTGTTAACCTATGGCCAGCTCTAAAAGCAGCTGGATTACTGCTCTAACTTCATTACGATTCTAGCTGTAGCTTACTGGGTGATTGTGAACTGACTAAAGTTTCGGAATAATTTCCTGTCTGCCTCATTCACCCAAAACACTGCGGTGGAACTCAATAGTTAATGGGATGTGTATGAATTGTACAGATCGTGTATGGGTCCATAAGAGTCTACTTCAACTTCCCCTATTTTTTTTTATCAGCACAAAAGCCTAAATGAACAAAATGTGAGCAAACTGTTGAGCAAATAACATTTTTTAATTGAAGCATGCAAGCAATGGAATGCAAGTTGGTGCAGACTTTCAATATCCCACAGGGCTATCAAGGAATGCCAGCCATGTCCTAACTGCACTTATGTAGCCATGGTTTCTAGATGATTTGAGATTGAAATTTCAAAATGGACTTTAATATGTCAATAATAATGTATCACATCACAAATAATGTACTTCACACATGGAGTTAGTGCAATCACTAATGAAACAATACACATGAGTCATGAATGTGACATGAGATTGTGACTCAAGGACATGGAAAAAGAGATATGAACATATGTAGTAAGTGATAGGGTTAGAGGGAGAACATGGCGATTGAGGCTAAGACTGAAGTTTACCTTTAAGCATTTATTGAAATTATTTGAATATAAATGTTTACTTCCTCGAAAGCTACAGTGACATGAAAAGAAGAAAATGGACAGTACAATTATGTTAAAAAGGAAGATGGGGAAAATTTACAACATTTTCGTTTTACAGTTTCATCAGCAATTGTACCTAAGAAAAAAACTGTTTTATATTTTTAGTTTTCTCGGTGCCGTTTTTGTAACCTGGAAATAAAGAGGGTTATTTTTTTTAATCTGGGAAATGCGAAATTCCCCTCCTTAAATTGCCAGACAAGTCAGAGATCTGCTTAACGGATTCTGAAGTGCAGAGGAAAAAACTCTTGGAAAGAATTGTCATTCCTAGTGAGTGGAACAGGCACTCCTGTCAGCATCCAGGTTCGAGTGCAAAAAATAAATGTCAGGTTGTTTTTTGTAAAATCACTCAGGTGCTAAAACGGCTAGAAACAAACGGGCAAATTGTTTCGGATTGTTAGAGGATGCATAGAAGAGTATATGGAAAAAAAAACGTCGCTATTCTAGCTGCTGTTTCAGAGGCGCTACACATTTTCAAAGAACGGCGCGTTTTTCTTGCCCCACCCGGTATTAGAGTGTATATCAGAATAAACAAAATCTGCGTAAAGCAAAGTCTGCGAAGGAATCCTTGCTTAACGGCTATTGATTCTGTGTCAACCAATACGGACCTTCCCAAAGGGACTAATGCCATCATTTTCTTTTGTGACGGTAAGGCAGTTTTGCTGGTAGCTATCAGAGTACCTCATCGTACTTTTAACACTACCGGCCACACCAGACGACATCGAGGACGTCACGCATACTTCTTGATAAATTATGCTGCATGGTCTGCTAGACAAGTTTTTGAGCATCAAGCCATGTGACTAGGAGGAGTCCTGTTGAAACACTCAAATTAACCACCATATACGTGTGTCCGAGAAGCCCCGCCCCAAGTTTTGTACATTATTATGTCTTTTTTTCTTCTTATGGAAATGAGTTTTATATCATTCGAAAGCCTAGACCTTTCTTAACAACTGCTGTTAAACCTGACGGTTTGTGATTACTAGTTGTGGGGTTTATTAAACCCCACAAATGTTAAAAACTTAAACAATTTTTTTTATTTATTTAAAGAGAAGGTGTATGCTACAAAACCCCGTAACATCCCTGACCTCATCAGCGCCATTTCCACCAAACTGAATGCCATAAGCTTGGACATATGCCAGAAAGCAGATAAGAATGGGAAGCAATTTGAGTGGGAAAAAGATTGAATGTAAATGCTTCCTTATTTTGCTAGATGCTATACTCTGAAATAAATAATAAAAATAAAATGTTGATGTGTCCATGCACTTAGTCTTAGTCTCCGTCCAAATTTGGAACGGGGTTTCTGGGACACCCTGTCAGTACCGTCCCAGCCTAAAATCCAGGTTGGAAACAGCTATAGTTTCCAGCTTAACCTCAACTGTAAATTCAGACCTACTCCAACTGTGTAACAGTTAGAAAGAAAAGTCAGATACAGATTTGTTCCTAGTTGCAATACCACTGTTGGAATGAGAATGTTTTTGTTGGCTATTCTTGCCGGAGGTCCATCTACAGAAGTAGCTGTATTTCAGCGGTAAATGCAACTGTATTCCAGCAGGAGGGTCCTCTGTATAAAATTATAACTGAAAAGTTTCAACTGGAAACAGCTACTAAAACCATCTGCAGTCCAGTTAGAAAATCCAGCGGTAAAGCAACTAGTAACTATCATTTTTCAGCTCTTTCCCAGCTGGAAATGGTCGGAATTTACAGCTTTAGTCCAGCTGGAAAATTCCAGTTGTTATTTCAGACAGGGACGGCTATATTTTTCTTTGCTTCTTGTGCATGCGGAAATAGAAAAGTTAAATGCAGTATGAAAATATATGGCCCACCCTGAATAATAACTGTTGAGTAAGTTTCATGTTAGACATGGCTAGAATGTACTCGTACAGAGAGATAATCACCATAATCGTTGAGATTGCCTCTTTGTAAAACAGGAACGACGTATGACGAAACAGAAATGCGCAAGACTTTACCTGCATTCCCCCCGGTACTGAATTCTCGAACATGATTGGCTGTCTCAGATAGAGCCCTCTGCTGCTTCTCACTTGCGCGTCGTCGCTCATAAGAATGCTGAAATTATTCCTATTTGTGCCTGGAACCGGTCTTGGAAGTAATCAAAGCCTATTTTGTCATTAGAGACAGGCATCAGCTTAACATTAGCCTCCTCTTCTGCTATAAATTCTTTACTAACATATCTCCCAGACTCTGAAAGTTGGACAGCCGGGAGAAAAATTGGATAATAGATGAGAGCTTCGGGATTGTCTCCGCACGGACTTGACCTTGCTCATCGGTACGCCGTTCCCAGCCGTCAGGAGTCCAGAACGAGGGAGGGAAAACGGAGAAAGGCAGGGAAAGTAGGGATTCCAGGTTTTCTCGAGAGATAGGAATCGGACGGGAGAAGAGGAAGAAACGCTAGGATCGATGGGTAGGAATGGTGCCTATCGATTTCACCTTTTCACATCTTCACCCCACTCTTGTGGAAATACTCCGTGTATCGTTGTATGAATCGCGATTATCGGCAGCTCGCATCGGCCTCGGTCCATAAAGAAGCAACGATGGGAGAGAGAGGGTGACACCTGCTCGGCCACCTGACGCCAGAGCAAATCCCGGCCGATAGAAAAGACAGACGACCGTATCCAATCTCGGCTCTCTCCCCCCATTATGAAATGTGGTCTCTCCCTTCCGCATCTGTGCTCCCGGCCACGCTCCCTCCATCCGGAAATATGTATTCCACGATGAAGGGAATCCGATGGCATTAGAATACGTTTGCGATTCTTCGGTCTCTTCCTGCGTCCCGACGCGGAGCCACGATCATCTCGAACGTCTTCTCACATTCCACGAAACCAATGGACGGGTACAGTACAATGGATAGTACAGGTAAGAGCGGATGCTCGTTTGCATCTGGCATCAGTGGACTGGATTTTGATATCAGGTGGCAGCTCGTCTGCCCGTGGCCTTGACCACAGTGGCCTGCATTGTGCATTCTACGTAACTGTACTTACGCACACACTCCCTTGCTTGTCGCTCTTCAAAATGGGGAAAGGATCTCGGAATGCCATGATTCAACCTACGAGGGGAGGGTGCAAAAGTAATGAGACTTGTGCTTTTATTGTCTTTCTTTCTCTCGTTGTCTTTCTTTCGACAAATGGATCCACAGATGGGGAAAATGTGTATCGAGGCAGGGAGACTACGTTGAGAAATTAAGAAATGCGGACAGGACTTTATTTACACGAAGGTGTAAATTGAAGTCCTGTCCGCATAATCTCAATAATTTTGCACCTTCCCTCGAAAGAAAAGAAAAGTCAAGGAATGAGGTACCGAAGGAACCTTTGAATTTGCAAATCTTTCCTCTGTAAATACCGTTCCATATTATGGACATTTCACGAGCTTATGGATTCGTGATCTCTTTCTCCCACCATCCTCTGCATTCTCACTTTCAAAAGAGAAGCACTATCGTTAAGAAACTCATTGAAATAAACCTCGTTCTGAAACAACATTTCATCGTTTCTGGTCTCTAGGAATAGTCGATAGATTAGGTTTTAAAAAAGTCCCAGAACGATACGCTCGACGCATGAAATCGCCATAGCTTCGCGAACGAAGTGACACCTGCAGTATCATCATCCCCCCGCTCTGGCTTTCTCAAAGGTGACGCAGAGATGGGTGTCAAAGGGGTAATAGCGGAAATTCTCTAGTGGTAGACTTTTCAAGGAGGATCCTTAATTTTCTATATTCGGTTCTGGAGCTGTATCTAAGTCAAATTTCATCATCTCCTAACTCCTGTAGTTTCACAGAATTTCCGGAAATGAACTATAACTTTACCACACCCTAACGAGTGAACGAAAGTTCCCTCCCCCCACCTCTATGTCCCAATTTTTAGTACTATGAAATTTCGTCTAGTTCGTGATTTTTTAAAGGAAATTTTGAACTTCTATCCACATGAATAACACATCGACGTTTGTTGGGCAGTCGGATAGGAGAACGCGTAACATGTTGGAAGCACACAGAACCCATTGGACTTGAACTTTAAGGAGGAAGGAAATAATGTTGTGGACCAACTAAATATATATAGAGCTTTCGCATTCCCATTGCCAGTAAAGGAGAAATTTCCGTGGCCGTATAAGAGCAATTTTCCCCCGAGTGGGCCTATTGTTCCCGCTTTTGCTCTGAAAGGATATCCTTGAGACTCACCTCATCCTCTCTTGATTGATGAATGCACGCATAGCCTTGTCTGGAATCTATTCGCAGGCCCTCCTGCTTGGTCTCCTCTGCTCGAATTATCGGATTATCGTGTCGATCGTCTCCCAGTGGAGAGGGAGAGGACCTGGACGTCTCCATTTACCCGCTTCGGACTAGCGCTCGTGAATGATTGCCCTCAACCTTACCCTCATCCTCTTCTCTTCAGCATCCTCTCGAGAATATCTGGATCGTGCGCCTGGGCATACGATTCGGAGAGCAGGACTCGAGCGGAGATCGAGACGGATCAACATCCTCGCGTCGAATCAACGTGAAAATGCGGAGTACATCTCTATTCCCGCAAGAGAGATATCTGGTGAGGGTGAGTGAAATTCAACGAATGAAACGTCTGCTGCACTATCACGCTTTTATGCCAGTGTGACCAAGCCTTGCGCATTCTGCAGGACAATCCCGAATTTCGAGTGTCTTGTCAAGAAGCTGTCCTGCTAATTCTACGTCACCTCCTGCCAGCAACGGTCAATATGTCAAGTGTAGCAAAGAATGGAGAACTTCCGAGTTTATTCTCTTCATCACGGATTGTAAGTGGAATCCAAAGCTTTTCCCAGTTTTAGTAAGAGGGATTGATCCAAGGGGAAGGGCTCAAACAGTCATGTGCGAAGCAAGGTAATCCAAGATTAATCCAAGGGGATCGGGGGAGGGGGGGGGGGGGGGGGGGGGCGAAAAANTGTGGGGGGGAGGGGGGGGGGGGGGGGGGGGGGGGGGGGGGGGGGTCGAACAATCATTTGTCATCTAAATTATGAAAAGGAAATTCCGCTTACAGTCCAGTCTGCTGTAAAGAAAATACTGTAACTGAAGCTTGCTAATATGAGGGATACATTCTGGTGATGAATGTAATGACACATCTCTCACTCATAGGTTCTGGAAATTGTATGCATATAGAAGGCAAATCGTGCGATCCGCCATTTCATTAAATACTTTTTATAGAATTTAGCGAAATAGATGAACTTGTCATTTGGGCCAGATTCATCTTTTCCCTTCCGTCCCTTCTTTGTACTTTGAAATTACAGGCTAAAATTCCTTATTAAAAGAGTAAGCTCATATAATCGGAACGCAATGTGTGCATCGCATTCCAATTAGATTTGCATTCTAGATCAATCGAAATGAAATGATATCAGAGTTCGTTGACTGGGAATAGCATGATCAGGCGAATCAGTTGGCAGACTTCACTCTAGAACAGATAGTCCACGAGTTCTGGTCCACGAGAAGCTGTGAGAATGCATTTCCTTCTCAGAGATCACACGATGACGTTCCATTTCTCTCTGAGAAAGACACGAGTGTATATGTACGTGGGGCATTCAAAAAGTCTTGGAAGTGAGCATGTACGAAAGGAGTGGTTTGCATCTGGGTTGATTTGTTGATAGTGGCATATACAAGTGACATTGGCTGTTGTCTAGAAATAATAACAGTATCTGTATCTATATTGTAGGCTGTGTACTAGTTCAGCAAAAAGTGTCCATTTTGACTGTGACCTAGAAATATGGAATTCAACAAAGAGAGTGAACGATTCTATGTTTTCACCCGGATGAAACTTGGAGATAGTGCAAGCCAGATTCATGCTGATCTACAGCTTGTGCATGGGGACAAATGTTCTTCATTCAACACAGTTGCCCGATGGATACGTGAATTTGGTAGTGGTAGAGACACTCTGCAAGACCAGCCACGTGAAGGACGCCCAAAATCAGTCGTGAACGAGAAAAACACAGATCGTGTCAGAGGCATTTTGCAGGCTAACCCAAGTGTAACCATTGAAACATTAGTGGACGAGTGTGGACTAAGTGCTGGCTCAATTTCAAACATTTTACACAATGAGCTGAATGTTAGAAAGATTTGTGCGAAGTGGGTCCCACACCAGCTGACTGCAGAACAGAAGGCAAAACGAGTGCTGTTTTCACGTGAAAACTTGGAACTGTTCGGTCCTAATGGTTCCAAACGTTTGACTGATATTGCTACAGGTGATGAGAGCTGGTTCTACTATTACACAGTGCCTAACAAGACAGACAACATGGTGTGGCTGTCTGAAAACGAGCCCCGGCCAAAGATTCTGCGACAGGATTTCCGGTCAAAGAAACGCCTGTTCACCGTGCTTTTTGACTATGAAGGCCCTCTGTTGGTGAATGTTCTACCTGAGAAGCAGACAATGACTGGTAATTACTACAAGAACAATATCCTTCCTGAACTCTGCAAATCAATCACCAAAAGGAAACCCACAGTTGGCACATCCCGCACACAGCTTTTGCATGACAATGCATCAAGCCACAAGACGGCTGCCGTACAACAGTACCTGGAGGAGCAGAAAATCCGTGTCATTGCCCATCCACCCTACTCTCCTGACTTGGCACCCTGTGATTTCTGGCTTTTTTCTAGAATCAAAAGGGAGTTGGCTGGAAAGCCATTTTCTCGTGTGCAAGATCTCTCCAGAGCTCTCAATTCACAGTTGGCAAGTATACCTCAGGAAAAGTACCGTGGAGCATTTGACACGTGGCTGACCCGTTTGAACAAATGCGTGGCAGCTGCCGGTGACTATTTCGAATAACTAAAGGCAAAAAAAAATTTTTTTCATTCATAATTTCCTATGTTGCAGGGTCACTTCCAAGACTTTTTGAACGCCCCACGTAAATAGCTGAAGACAATGCTGAATGTGATAAAAAAAATATTTTTGATTTTCTTTCAATGAATGACGAAGCACAGAAATGATGATGAAAAGAGAATAGGATACTCCTTTTAATCTTACACTTGCTTACACTGATGCGATCTCTGATAAATTTTTATCTCAGGGTTACACATCAGGAAGAAAAGAATGGATAGAAAAAATGTAAATTTCATTGCCTCATGACTGAGATGGAAATTGCTTTTCAATTAGATGTGGACAAGAATGAGACTAATGATTTCTGTGACTGATAGTTGTGATAGGAATAGGACAAGAGTGTTTCTTAGTTGTGACAATATAAAGCCAGAAAAAAGCTGGCAGAACTTACAAGCAGTCACTCTTTAGGCTGACACCAGTGAATTTTGTAGCCCTCATCTATCATCCTGTATAAGGTGGGGGCAAAGGGGGAGGTCATAAAATATTATTTCAATATTACCTCCTGAGAAGCTTTCTTGAGGTGCCTCCCAAGGCCAAATTAATCAAAAGAATAGCAAATGCAAGTTGCTGAGGGTCAGAAGCACTTTGATATGAAGCAGAGCCTTCCAGGGCCTCCACATCTTGAAAGAACTAAAAAGACTGAGGATCCTCAGAGAAGAGCTAATGTGGAAAATCATAGAAGGCCCTAATCTTTTGATTGCCTCAACCTCATAAACTTGAGGGCTTGCTTGTAGAACAGCAACAGAAAAAAGGGTATTTTTCACCATCTACATGACAGCATCATTAGTGTCATTGTTCTTTTGAGTGTCAGCCAAAAGAGTGGCCCTTCTATACACTGTTTACCACTTGATTTGCCACTGTTTACCACTAAGCAAACTCACAGTTGCATTGGGTTTTCAATTTTGAGAACCATGAGCTGATAAGTTCTTCATGCACTAACGATTTGCTATGGACACCATGGAAATTTAAAGAAGTATGGCAAAAATGAGAAGAAAAGCTTGAGAAGCAGCATTTGATCCTATAAAATTGAAATTCACCTCAAGAAGGCCAACTGCAATAGAGAGAGCAGCTCCAGTGGAACGAAGAGGTCTCTTCCCTTGAGAGACAGGCCAAGGGTCTCTCTGCAATTCTCCCAGCAAATCAGTCAGGTTCATGTCACATGTGTGCACAGGCTGCAAAAATCTGTTCTCAGGAAAAGCAAATCAACACTCATTAGTTTTTATTTTAAAAGTTTCAAATACTCCTGAAGAGCTTATGTGAGATAATACAGTTTGAGTCCAATAAGGTATAGTTTTGGCCTCTATGAAAAATAGGACTACTTGAAATTACAATAAAACTGAGTTTGATGTCTTCATCAATACCATAATCATTTTGCATGAATGAAACTATACATTTTCCATCATTCATATAGTGATCTCATCAATTTGCAAGCATGCACAATTCCTGGAAACAGAACTTCCTGTTAATTCACAAGTCTTAATTTTTTCTTGAATGGACCAATTAATAAGAATGAAGAATGTTGAGAGAGACAAAGACAGACCTGTTGAAAGGAGTCTGGGCAATATGTTGAGCTTGTTGCGGGTTGCCACCGGGAGGGATGGGCATTGGCCCTGTACTTCCCCCTTTTCCCAAACCTAACATCTCTTGCACCTGCTTGGCAGGATAGTCCTTTGTTCCACGAAACACATAGCTCTTACTGATCCCCTCTGTTCCCAACTCATGCACCTGCCACAATGAGAAGGGAATGTAAAGAACTTTAGCTTCAGCAATGTTGCACTGTAGTTAAGGTTTTCCTTAGGTCTATTAGGACAAAATCCATAAGCAATTGAACAGGTTGTCTAAGTCTGTTTCCAAAATGAAGCAAATATTTCCTATTGTGCCAAACAACTTCAGGTAGAAAAAAGATGATCTGAAGCAACAGTATTGCATATTCTCCATATGGAGAATTGATATAACTGACCTGAATCATACGGCCAAATGTGATGAGACCAATGAGGGCATTTGGAGGGAGGAGTGACAGGGAGAGTTGGAGACTCTCCTTCAATGCACCCAGCTCCTCTTCTTCCAAGCAAGTGTCCACCACTAGTAAAAATATTGGTGGGAGGCATGTGGCTCTCTGGAAAATGAATACAATACCATATTATTTCTCAGGGTAACTAACACTCCATCAAATCTATAACATAGGATACATAAGATATTGAATATAGTGATAAGGATCAAGCTAACAGATGAGATGGGTATGAACACTCCTGAGACCATATAAACTTTTTCAAGCACTGCATTAAATACAGTAGTTGGTGCTCCTCAGACTGAGGTACTTTGACGAAAATGGACTGTTGCTGTCAAAAATGTGCAAACTCTGTAAGCTCACAAACAACTCTTAAAGCAATCAAGTATAAACAATGACAGTGCTCAATGGTTAAACATGAAAAATGTGCACAAGCTGGCATAGAACTTAAATGGTTAAGATCTGCACTAGAACTACAAGACCATATTGTAAATGTCCACAACCACTGCTTGTGGTGTTGCTGACTCCACAGAAGGAGTTGAACATATGAAGGGGTTAATGATGTAATACCACACCTTCTTTGAAATAATCCTTATTCATTCTCAGTTGAATTCATGTCTACAAAGAAATTATGCCAATAAAGTGATATGGTAAAGTTGTTACTTCAAAACAGTAGAGAAACTCAACCCATGAACCAACTCAATGCATTAAAATATAAATTTGTTGTAAAAGCACACACATGGACAGTCACTGTGACAGCAAAGAGCCAAATTTTTCCAATGAAAAAAGAATAAAAACTTACAGTGATAATGTACTCAGCAGTGGAGAACTGAGGTACCAGCTCAGGGGGTTGGTTATGCTCAGATATACCAGCATAGTTGGGTGGGAACTGCAAAATAAAAACAGGGTGATGAGAAATATAATTAATTGAGGAGATATTCCATGAAACTAATAAGCAGATGTTCCAAGTGGATTTGACTTATAAGTTGCATGAAATCTCTGTTAGATATAGTTCTTCCACCGACCGTGTTGCGCTGGAAGCAGAAGTTGCAGACCCAGATACGAGCCCTGTAGTCAACCTGACACATGGGATTGAGGATGGCACGGCAATTGTTTCGTGTGCAGAGGATGGGATCATACTGGAGTGGTGGAAGACTAGGCTTCTCCTTAAGTGGTGTGTAGAGTGCAGCTAGAGGGACCACCAACCGTGTTGCCTCCAGCCTGCTAGATGGCCACACGTTCCATGTCAAACGTGTCCCATCTTGTTCCTCATTTTGAAGAATAAATTCACGATATGTTGCCATCTCTATCAAACTAACTGTGACCTTATATACCCTAGAAAATGGAGAGAATGACAGTTAAAATTACAAGAGCAGCACTTGCAACTGTGACAGGTATGTAATAGACAGGTATATTTTAAGGAGCATTAGTACTGTCCCTAAAAGAACCTCTTACTTTTAATTTGTGAAGGATCATGGTTTTTATTTTCATACACACTCTCAGTATTCACAAGATTCCTTACAGTTTACCCTACCCTGTATACTAGAAAGGAAACTATCTTTATAGTGTCAAAAATTTGTCATATTTTGTTTTCTTTGCAAAAGGGCTTCTCAATTGATGTTGCAATAATAATCCATGTTTTTCTTTCAACAGGTAATTTGAACAATGCTGGTTTCGTTGTGAGAATGCCCAAAACTTTTGCTTTCACTGAGAAAATAAAAAATAAAAATGTAGATAATTTCTTGCCTTAGCATCGTGCTTTCATATGTTTTATTGTAGTCTTTATCTTGGCAGTCTAGGCAAAAGGAAAAATTACTTCATTTCAGGATCCAACAATCATGGTTCAACTCAGTTAAACTCCTAACTTTCAAATTACTTTTTATAACTAATTTTTCCATTACCATTACCACTTTTTAAAACCATCTGGTATTCAAACCTATTCCTCTTCAAAGATTCTAGCTCTCCTTTGCATATAAATTATTGCAGAAGTGCATTTTGTTTTTGCATCATCTTGTAAGCAAGGGTTTTTGACACAGTCCACAAAGATTTTAAAATATACTTTATTGTACTTTCAGTCCTCGATGGAATTAATCCCAATTCCATGGAGGATTGAAATTTCAATTCAACTCTCCAGTTATGCATGCCCAACACAGTCAGGCAATAAAAATTAGCTATTTACAATCATTCCTAAAAAAAAAAAGAAAAAGGCCTTTAGGCCTGGCTTCTTTTGGGAAGGGACTTGAAATACTTAAAGGGTCCAGTTTGCACAGCTCAGGAGCAACCCCTCTCATTTGGAGGACTGACCAATGGCTATTTCTTTACATTCCTAAGGCATGGAAGTTTGCTCACATGAAAATAACTTTGAATACACATCCTTTGCATAGAAATTCACATTTGAGAATTCAGCCACAAAACAGGATTTCTGTTTCATGAATGTGTGCAAAAACAATGAATAGCCATTGCAAGGGACTTTCATGAGGGCATATTTACATGTGTAAGCCAATCCAGGAGAATTGAACAAGCCAAACAGTAACAGATTAACCTCTTCACTGCTATGCCCTACTCCTGTTGGAATGCAATTTGTTACTCTTAACTTTTGCCATGATTGAGAAAATATACCTTCTATATATATGTTCTCCATGTACCAAATGTAAATGCAAACATCCTAAAATAAAACAAATCTAAAAATAATATGCAATAGCAACAAAATTTTCACAAAAAAAAACCAACACAGCATGCACATCATTGTGCACTAAAGCAACTGTGAACAGGTTAAACTGAACTCTTGGGAACTTCCTCTAAAGTTTGCACATGAATTTTGCAGGAATCTAACCATCAAACCATGCTTGTACCTTTTTTCACCTACTGCTCCACTCACATCTCTGTATTCTCATCATGAATACATATTCCCTGATATATTATCAACAAAATTAATGTTATTACAAATTTAAGAGGAGAGAAAATGCACAAAAATAACTAAGGGTAATATACCTTTACACCAAAATAGTCAGTACCATAGCAAGTCTCCAGGAAGCAGATATGTTACCAGGCAATGGCAGAGGAATGTGAATTCATAATAGTTTCAGCCATACATAAGGAATTCTTAGACTGAATTCTTTGGTTTGTCTAAATAGTTGGTACATTCTCATATTGTTGTTGAATGTCACATCAAAACAGCCTCTTATGTATCACATAGAGCACACAGGCAAAAAAAAAAGCTGCTGCAAACCACACAAGAACCCTGTCTGTGAATTCCCTTCTACCATATTTAGTTAGAAGCTTATGTCCCTGAGTGATTGCAACTCCCATGCCTTTAAATTCCTCCTGGGTATCTTCAAGAGCCTGGGAGGAATTCCCCAAGCTTTGCAGAGTAAGATGAGACTTCTCCACTTGTTCAGCCATGATTCTGCTGATTGAAAGTAGGTTCCCTGTGACACTTGATGACATCTGAAGCAACTCTTCTTTGTCTTTCCTTTTCCGGACATCAGAGTCTTGTGTTTCTAATCTTGTCAATTCATCCTTGGTCCGCTTCTCCAACGCCAGTTGACACGCAAGATTGTAGCGTCTTAGACACCTCTGCACATTGGTCAACTCATCTTGGTGCCGTTTTGCTTCACTGTGTATCAACTCACTCTCCTCAGCTTTCTCTACTTCTAGAGCCAGTTTCTCTAAAGATGCTACTCCTTGCTTCACAACAGCAATCCTCTTCCGAATGGAGGCATTCAAAGCATGCAGCTCATCAAGTGAGCACTCACATCTTTGAATAATTTGAACTTCAGGCTTCAGCTTTAGTTCTTCTTCTACAATCCTTTTCTGAACATCTTGAAACACTGACACTGGTCCAAGGCCAAGACCTGAGCCTGCACTTGCCATCATTCACCTCCCCCAGTAAGCCTATTATACTAGATATGAAGTTGCTTTTGCCATAAATGCAAGCCATAAAGGCTTGATTGATGATGGAGTATTGATGAGCACAAATCTAGGCCTAAGCAGATTAAGCCTACAAGCTATTTACACAAAACCTAATTGACACAGATTTTGGTTGAAGTCCATCATTCAACAAGTTCTTAGTAAACTAAGTCAGCACATTCTATACGTGAGAAACTGGGATAAGTTTTGAGAAGCAGTATGCTTTAAATTGTGTAGTGTTTGGAAGGGCTACTTTCAAATTTTAACTTTTCTAATTTTGGACTATATTAGCAGTTTTTGTGCCAAAAGAAACAGAATTTGATAGGGTTTTATGATTTCATAGATTTATAAGTTTTCTGTAACCCATAATGGTACAAACAATTTTGTAATTCTTTAGCACCATGCGCAAATAGCTGCACAGTATGAAGTGTTGAGTTGGAGGTGATGGGAAGTTGCATCCAAAGTATTATCTTTCCACCACCATCTCTAGATCATGATGGAGGGCCACCACACCCCATACCATGCAGCTAACTGCACAGTGTTGAAGATTCAATTTTTACTCCATGAAAGTTTAATAAAACCAAAAAATCTATGTAATAAAACCCTTTCAAATTCAGTTTCTTTAGCATGAAAGCTATTCATGAAAGGACTACTATTCTGGTCCAAAAATAACAAAAGTTCTTAAAATTTTAATAACAGGAGTAACTTTCCAAATACTAGATTTCATATGAATTTTACTTATTTTATCAGTTTGCACAAGGCCTAGATTAGCCCTATAATTGCCCATACAACTTCCAAATCCAGCTACTTTAAGTCAGAAAATCTCAAGAAAATGAATAGAAATTGCCTATACCTGCTGCATCGCCACATACTTCAAGCTTTATAGTCACTGGAACTACCACTACATGGCAGTCAAGGTTCAAGTAAACAAACCAGTTCCTGGTGCTTTTGATACATGCTGTAATCTTTGTATGCACTCCACTCTTCTGTCACCTTTTACCATTTAATTGCAAGGTAATATATTTTTCCTTGAATTATTAGAATTTCCGTAATTTTAGGCAAGTTCGTCAATTGCATTGAGATATCCAAGTACATGAATAGCTTAATGTAAGTATCTGAATAACTGAAGAATGACAACATTTGCTAGTTTTGAGTCAATAGATATAAATCTGCAACCTGGGGGAAAGGTAGCAACTGACTGGGAAGGCAAGGCAGGGAGAAATATATAACAGAGAAGGGCTAGGGAGAAAGAAGGAAACAAAGCAAAAAGAGTGCTTGGGATGAGTTATGGTAATGGATTGAAAGGTAAATGACAACTGACTGCGAGAAGATCAAGCCCCCAAGAGGCATTGGGAAGATATCAGCTGGATGGAAAGATCAAGCACCTGAGTGGAACTGAGAATATATCCCCATGTTACTGATGTTGGTCAGTTCAGGGATATCGATTTTTTCCACATGTAAATGGAAGGATCTCACAATACTATGTGTATTACCCAGATCATGAGGTTGTAGGATCTCTTGCCCTAATGAGGAGAGGTGAGAAATGGGATCATCGATCAAATTTTCCTGACTGTAAAATAGAGGCAGCCTAGTCATCAGCATGAATAGGTGGTTACAATTTTGAATGCATATATCATGAGGTGAGAAATACTGATCACTGAATTATACGGTGTCTTGCACCTCAGAAACCCCATCCTTCGCTCTCAAAAGCAATCAGTCAACAGTCCACTTTGCGTAACCTGGCTTTCTGCTAATTGTTCCTTTTGTGCCTTTTTTCAAGCGACCTTATTTGGCCCCAGATTTATATATTCATAATGCATTGATCTCCATCCCCCTACCAGAGCACCCTCCAATTTCCTCCCACTCTCTCAATACCACACCTCATGCAAGTGGTCCTGTGCTAGACTTCCCAGTAAGTAGCAGTTCGTGTGTCCTGTCTATTTGTATGCATCCTGTCACTGAGAGAATATCTGCTAATGTCTGACTACGAAATGTCCTAATTGAACCCTTAGACCCTTTGGCAAGCCAAAGAGCTCCTAGTTCAAGCTCTTGATCTCCATTTTGGAGGAAGAAGTAGTGGGTACTTCCATTTTCTTGGCAAATGCCAAGAGCTTCCGAATGGCTATGCCTCTCTGTGCCCCATTAGATGCCCCATTAGATCCTGCTTGGGGCCTACACTGGTGTTTTCATTGAAACACTAGTGGTGATTTGAAATTAGTCTTTTGCTTCTGCTCAGTCCCCAAAACACTGGGTCACTTCATCCACCTACTAAATTAGGAAGGTAAACCATAGTTACCGGGAAGCAGAAGAACTTCTTCCTGCTCTGCGCTATGATGCATTAAACTCGTAATGCAATAGGTACATCAGCCCACTGAACGGTCACAACTGCTGGGTAACTGGGAGACGCCATGATGCTTTACACGTCCCCGGGACTTCCACGTTGGCCCTCCGTACGCGATTGGTGTTTGACTCGTGACGTCAAGCACTGACTCCAATGAATACGTCAGGTGACGCATAAACGCATCCTGTTTGACGCCTTATGAAACCCACGCAGAAAATCTAGGTTCATGGGGGTTTTTTTTTATCACATTGAAAACATTATAAAATTTGTTTCCTGAAAGTTTCAAGCGCCTAGGTTGTCTTAATAAAAAAAAGCTACTAATTTAAAGTGCAGTCTTAAAAAAAAGTCCTTCCACTCATGAGGTGCAGGGTCAGGCTGGGATACCGAGAAATTTACCGGGGGGCCCATTGGTTTGCATTATGGGGGGGAGGAGGGGTGTGGGGGTCCTTTGTCAGGAATTTCCAGGGGGGGGCCTAGGTCGTCAGTCCGACCCTGATTAGGTGGATGCAGTCTCAAAACTGCTGGGGGATATATTTTTTATTTGACGTCTAAAGGTTTCTTTTTATGCCCTCGTCATAGTATTCTAGCTTTGTGTCTCTAGGCCTCAGGTGAGAAGGTAAGGTCTGATCATGTGTTTAGAGTATATAGGACTGGAGAAGGAAAAGCAAAGTGAGTTTCCTCTGAAATCGAAGTCTCTTTTCAGTCTTCTCCCTCCAGCCTTTTTTTTAAATTTATTTAAAAGGCTGGAGTGGCTGTTTAAATAATAAAAAACACACCCTTTAACGCAATGACTTTTCTTTGAAAGATACTATATGATAGCACTGGATACTTTTAAGATAACATTGCAATAAGATTGCAGCCATAAGCAGGCTTTTGGCGACAAATGGAACACATCTGGAGATGACCACTGAAATGCCAGCTTTCCGATACGCGGAAAAGCGGAATTTCTCATCGAACTTTCAACGACTGTTCCTCTTTATCCGAACAACCTATGGACCTCAAGACTTTCATGAAACAAATTTTTGTGTTTTCTGCAATATGCAAAAAAAATAGACAAACCCAGAATTTTTGCCGCCCTCATCCTATTTAAATTTAGAACTTAAATGAAACATGAATAGGGTTCATGAAGTGGTCATAAAACAGCACAATTTTCATAGGTCAACTGAGGTCAGGTAACAAAATTCGCTCTAGCTTCTTTACTAGGGAATTCAAGACTATTTTTCTGCACTGTCTGTCTGTTCGCTTCAACGCATTTCATTTTATTAGAAGCTTTAACAGGAAAGGAATTCACTCCTCGATGCAGCGCTTGTGAGAAGAGCGCTAACGTGACAAATCATTTCGAATGCTCTTTTTCAGCTTAAAGAGGGAGACGATCGACCATACACACCATGAGCGCATTCCATTCCTCTCAAGAAAAACTAATAGTGGAGTCTTTCCGCAGAGTATCTCCTGGCTCACCGACCGACACCGGCGATGGAAAGGAAGCACGGCTTTTTCCAGAGTTGAAAAAGTCGTCGCGTTCCATCCTCTTGATCGCGCATGCTCTTCACATTTTGCAAAGAGCTTCCGGAGGTGAATGGGATGCACATCAACAGGCTCCTGTTGAATTCTTCTGATATGGGATCGAGGATCTCTTGCACCGAAGGCCATCGAAGACTGTACAAAATTTATTTTGAGTTGGAATAGCATCGAGGCTCTACGAAGTTGGCGAACAAATCAAAACAGAAATTTCGAATCGGAGGGGAGGGGGGGTTTCTAAAATTCTAGAAATTCTAGAAAGAAATTCTAGAACCCCGCCGCCCTCGAGTTCGGTAAGAGATATAAACAATGAAGTCGTGTGACTCAAATATAAATATGCGAAGAGATACCGAAGAAACATATGCGCGAGGAGAAAGCTTCAAGTCGCGCCTGCAATGAATGCAGCCGTCAGTTTCACTCGAAACGAACGAGAAACCAGGGGCATCCAAAGACTGATCGAGGCTAGAAGAGTTTCATGGAGATCCACCGTGAAGCTAACAGGAAGAAGCGTAATATGGATTTCGTATTGAAATGTTGAGCACCGATGCACCTTTCCCGAAAACGCGTTATTCCGAGTCCACGAACGACCACTAACCTCGACTGTTGGCAATATCGCTGCAACGGACGTCTGCTTCGAGAGATCCCAGCCTGGTGTTTAATGAAAACGGAGGAACGGATGTGATAAATTGAATCGTAACACTGGACGCGTACCAGGAACGTGCTTGTCACTGACGTTCTCCACGGCTAGTCCAATCGCTCACTGGCGAAGCGATGCGACAACCGTCACACAGCCGACGGGATTAGGATTTTCTCCGTTTCCAGATGGCATCGATAGGGTTCCGGTCCTGACGCCCTTGGCCTCGGGGCCTTGTCCTTGGCCTTGGGTATGGAAGTTCCAGGCAGAGTCGAGTTCACACAAGTGAAAGGATATATCTGTTCTCGTTTTTTTTTTCTTTTTCAAGCGGGAAAATACATCCCCGTCGAGCTTCTGTTAGGTGAAATTAGGAAATGTAGCTATTCTGACCTATAGAAAAGCTTTAATGTTGGGATTCCCGAGTCGATCCTTTTTTTTCGACCTTTTCCTGGGATCGTCTACTTTCAGTACTAC